CTCTCTCTCTCTCTCTCTCTCTCTCTCTCTCTCTCTCTCTCTCTCTCTCTCTCTCTCTCTCTCTCTCTCTCTCTCTCTTCGTCTGTTTTGGCAAATGCGCTTTTCATTCACAGATATGCGACGATGTGTACGTGTACATACTACATACGTAGCGAAATTACTTTTGTTTCCCCTCTGGTCAGTCTTGGCATTCACAACAGCATTTTCCCTCAGCCTGGAGGACAGCAGGAAAGAGTTCAGTCCATCCTTGTAATGTGAATTGGATCGGGGCTCTGCTGGCCAGAGATGATTGAAGATAGGAGGGAAGATATAATGATCGGGGCCCTGCTGGGCAGAGATGATTGAAGATAGGAGGGAACTCAGGGAAGATATAATACTCACACTGGCGAAAGAATACGGAAGCTCGTGAATCGAAATGCGAGACAACGGGCGAAAGAATACGTAAGCTTCAGGACATTTTTCGCCTCTTTGGTGTCATTTTCGGCCCCTTGTTCACTAAATCAGAGTAGTCTTCGATGCTCACCCCAGCATCTTCATCAGTCTCAATGCCAACCTCTTCCTGCAAGGATCGACCATCATCCGGAGCTGCAAGTCGTCAATGCATTTTCTTGCTGCTTCTTTTTTTTTCTTTTTTTTTTTCTTTAACCATCATCCAGAGCAGGAAGTCGTCAATGCATTCTTTCTTGCTTTTTTTTTTTTTTTGGCAACCATTATCCGGAGCTGGAAGTCGTCAATGCCTTCTTTCAGAATCTTTCTTGCTTTCTTTTATTCTTTCCTTTTTTTTCTTTTTTTTTTTCTGCAAGAAACACACTTCAAGGCAAAATAGCTGACAGATCGAATATGAGTCATCTGCCGCGGCAAGATGTCGCAAGCTGTCGAGAGCACCAAATACAAATAGTAAAATAATAAAATTATTACTAAAATAGTAAAAATAAAATAAAAATACCTTTATGGTCGTCCTGCGAGCCGGTAGTCTGAGTAGGTCTCAGTAACGGAAACAACGGCAAGGAAATAGACGTTAATAAGTTTAAAAGAGTTTAATAATAGATACCTTGTTCAGCCACTTTCTATTTTATTATGGAAGGACAACCCTGTGACTGACCTGCCAGTATTGTGATGTGTATTATGGATGCCGTCAGCTGTCGATAGCAAGCCTCAGATACATTTCGTAGTTGTCGTACGCACGGCTAGTCTGAGTAAGCTCTTAGTAGCAGGAACAATGGCAAGGAAATAGAGTTTTATTAGACACCTTGTTCTGCCTTTTCTTTTTGTTTTTATTTTTAGATTACAAAAACAAAACAAAAACAAAAAAACAAAAAACAAAAAAACAAAACAGACTGCTGTAATGAACCCAGTCTGGCAGATACTCAGAAGTCGTCCAATATCAGTAGTCTCATTTTCTGCATCAAAGTCTCCAAATCGTGAAATGATATCTCAAACAGTATCTCATTACTATCAAGAGGAGAGAGTGGAGGGGGAATAGACAAAGGAGAGGAAGAGAGAGACCCCTCTCCTTCTCCGGGCTTCTTCCCTCTCCACGTCAACAATGATAATAAGTATATTCCATCACACACAATAGTGCCATGTCAGCACTCTAACTCGTGAAGACCATGAAGACATAGCAGATTCCAATGATGTCGTCAACCTCAGGTGAGTACCCGACCTCCTTCATCCACAGATCCCGATCTTCCTCCTCGTAATCAGTCACCTCGACAGCGTGGACAATGCCACGTCAGCATTCAAAACAGGTGGCATATACCACATCATCAATGAAGACTAGTGGCAGCTCCACATCAGCACTGTAAACCAGAGGCAGCGCCACGTCAGCATGCGATGTAGACCGGAGGTAGCGCCACAGCAATGTAGCGCCACATCAGCATGCAATGTAGACCATAGGTAGCACCACATCAGCATGAATGTAGACCTTAGGTAGCACCACATCAGCATGCAATGTAGANGCACCACATCAGCATGCAATGTAGACCTTAGGTAGCGCCACATCAGCATGCAATGTAGACCTTAGGTAGCGCCACATCAGCATGCAATGTAGACCTTAGGTAGCGCCACATCAGCATGCCACCTCAGCACCTCAGCAAGGCTGGCGCAAATGCAGAAGCGCCAGCATGCTGCCTCCACCTCGTGCAGTCGTCCGCAACGCCTATGCACAGCCAGCGTGAAGCTAGCGTCGAGCCAGCATGAAGCCAGCGTCTAGTCAAAGTCGAGCCAGCGTCAAAGCAGCGTAGCAAGACTGAATGCCTTGACTCTCTCGAGGCCAACCTTAAGTAGCAATCAGCGAGGCTGTCTGGCCTCGGTGCTTTTCCCCTCAGTCGTCCAGATTGACTCACAGCTGAAGGCCCCGATTGTACAGTTGCAGACTTCTCCCTTGGACCTGATGCTGCCTGGGTACCTGCATACAAACAAGTGTGTGTGCTTGACCTGCGGCCTGGGCAAGGTACCTTTGGACTTTGACCGTTGGGTGGACCGACAGTTGACTAAAGTCAATTGTCACACGCCCAGGCCCTGAATTCGTGAAGGGCCTTTTTTGCCCTTGTTCGGCGTGGTCTGAGGGCGGCCAGGTAGGCCCTCTGATGACCTTCAGTTCCACGAGACATATGGCATGGGTTATTGCATTCCTGCCGACCCGGTTTTCGAGTTTCATCGCAGAGAATTCATTAATTCTCAGTTAACCCACGTTCATATGCAGCAATAATATCAGGAGCAGTGGGTAGTAGTTCTTTCCTACTAAACCATCTGGCTTCAGATGGGGGTCGGAACTTGAACTTTACCTTGTACTGCTTCTGAGGCCGTCCTCTGCCACCTGTAGAGAAATAGCCATGTTCCAATATTTTCTCAACTTCGTAGCCTCCGTTCATAGAAGGTGGAATCATAGATGGCCTATTTGGAAGATCGTCACTTTCTATATAAGGTAGCAGCTTAGACGCATGGAAGACAGGGTATGTCCTGAGATGTGGAGGTATATCTATACGGTAAGAAGGTTCATCTTCACCTCCAATTACTTTGAGAACTTCCCAGGGTCCATAGTAGACATGTAGCAGTTTTTGTGACACATTTTCTTCTAAGGAAAACTCTTTAGACTTAACCCATACAAAGTCCCCTTCTTGGAAATGTGAAGGACGACGATGTTTATTAGCTTGTTCAATCATTTGCAGTTGGGCTTTCTGTCTGTTTTCCTTCACCTTCTTGATGTCTTCTTCATACAAAACTGCGAATTCACGCGTCCTTGGGGGTAGCCGTTGAACCTGGTCCCTCGTTAATGCATCAATGGGACGCCATCCTTTATGCAGTGCGTTAGGTGTTCTACCTGTGACAGTATGTATACTGTTGTTATATGCACTGGCAATTTTAGGCAAGTTCTCATCCCAGTCAATCTGATCTAGACGGACATACATTCGCAAAAGTTGTTAACAGAGACGATTCATTTGCTCAGTTTGGCCATTTGTTTCAGGATATCTGCCTGATGACATGGTCAACCTGGTTCCATAGACTTCCATCAACTTTTGCTATTATAGACTGGTGAATCGAACATCTCTATCTGATACGATGGTTTTTGGAAATCCGTACTCAGAGACCCATCGCATTTGAAACTTTTGGATGACTAGTTCGACTCTAGCTTCAGCAGGCAAAGGAATGAACATAGGATACTTAGATAATCTATCAACGATTACCATTACTTGACTATTGTCGTTTCGACTCTTAGTGAGGCTCATCAAATCAATAGTGATAGACTCACCTGACTCACTTGGAATAGGTAGTGGTCGCAATAGTCCCATCGAATTCTCATGTGAGGGCTTGTTCCTTTGACAGACAAGACAAGTCCGTACATACGTTCGTACATCTTCTTTCATTCCTTTCCACTCAAAACGTTCACGCACATCGGCGGACGTCTTTTTGAAACCAAAGTCTCCTTCTGCATCATGGCATTCCCCAATGATCAAACTCTTAATTGATTCTAGGTGAGGAATACATAATCATTCTTCGGTTTTGTCCAGCAAGAAGAGTAAGTCATCAGTCATTCGATATTCTGAAAAGAACTCAGGGTGTAGTGTTCCAATGATAGGACTCCAAATACGATCACTCCCATAACCCTGGCGGATCTGTTCTTTCAGTTCATTTCAAATATCGAGATTAGAGACAATAGTTCCAAAGAAATTTGCACGCCTGAACAAAGCATCCGCAACCACATTAGACTTACCTTTAATGGTTTTCACCTCAAAGTCAAATGTGTCAAGGAATGCGGACCACCTTACCAACTTGACGGAGAGCTTGGGTTGAGTCTTGATCCACTTCAACGTAGAGTCATCAAAGTAGACAGTGAAATGCCTCCCTAACAAGTAGTGCTTCCAGGTATCTAGTGCAGCTACTAAGGCATACAGTTCCCTTTCATATGTAGAGTTGGATACCTTTCTTGACGGAAGTCTTCTCGACATAAACTCAATAGGTCTATATCCCTTACCGTCATCTTGTTGTAGCACAACCCCAATCCCATACTGACTTGCGTCAGTCGTGACAATGAAAGGAAGAGAAGGGCAACAATCTTTAGGACAAGGTAGTGAGTTAGAGCATGTTTTAGCTTTCTAAACGATGACTCATAGTTTTTATCCCACAACCAAAGCTTTTCCTTTTCAGTAATCTCCTCATAGGAGCAACTATCTAGGAGAAGTTTCTGACGAACTTCCTATAATAGCTAGCTAGTCCTAAGAAAGACCTTAGTTCAGTTATAGTCTTAGGTTGTGGCCAATCTCTGATTGTTGTAATCTTTTTTTCTTCAGGCCTTAGTCCTTCCTCGTTCACTATATGCCCTACGTACAAAACTACAGGCTTAGCAAACTCAGACTTCTTCGGATTCAGTTTGAAGTTACCCTCGCGCAACTTTTGCAAAACCATTCGTAGGTGTTGGATGCTGGTGCAAAATATGGGCTGGATGCTGATTAGACTCTGATGTGAATAACTTTTGATAGTATGCCGAGGCATACTCGACTATCTTATAGGCGTTGGATGTTGGCGGTTGGTTGCTGTATTAATAGTATTATGGATGTCTCTACTCACTCTCATTAATCCTCCAGTCCATGAAAAAAAATAAAATTAAAATTAAAAAAATCCTCCAGTCGATGACCTCCCATGATCTCTATCCACACACTCCCTGATGTGGAGGGATAAAGCGAATTTGAGAGTCAACCTTGATGACCTCCAAACGTTCGATTTCATGGCCGCATCTGCAAACGAGAATTTGGAACCAAGGGATACTTTGGTCCCCTTCAGTGTGGTTGACCGAGGGCCCACAGGAGACTACTACGGGAGCTCTGAAAGGACCGAAACCGGTCCTGAAGCGAAGATGAATTTTCCCGCAGTAATTTTCTTTTATGTTTGCCTTTGGGTTTTCTTTAGGCACGAAGTGCAACTGGGCCCTGGGAATCAGTAGAAAACCCTGATCATTGATTGGATATTTTGTTGTGCCGTTTTTCGGTGATTTTTAGTACAAGTATTGATGATTTGGTAGAGTTTCTTTTGGAAGACGGTGGTTTTCCAACAGGGGAGGGGCTCCACCCGAGGAAGCACGATCGGAGACCTTGCGACCCCTGAATTTGCAGCTTGCTGATATTGTATTTCTGCCTTGGGCACTGGGCCCTAATAAAACGATTGTAACAGAAAAAAGAAAAAAGAAAAGAAACTTTATACGCAACATGTCAGAAATTGATCTTAGAAAAAAAAAAAAAAAGAATTCCAGCCTCCCCAACGCTCGACCTTTCAGCGGAGCTGGATGGTGGTGGTGGTGGACCTGGTGGTTGGCATCTCAGTGGGTCCCCCCTCTTTCCTGCCTGCTTGTGCTTCTCTTCTTCCTTTCAAAGTTCAAGCCTTGTTTTTCTTCCCTCCTTCGCCTTCCTTTCTTCGTTCGTTCATTCCCTACGCTCTTTCTTTTTTTTTCTTTTTTTTTTTCCAAAAAGGGCGATGGCCTTGAGTGAGATGTCATCCATCCAACTGACGGCCCCTAGGTAATTCAGAATTGTACTATTTCTAGTAACTCATCTGCATCCAGCAGAGTTCGAACTCAGGTCTGATATTTCTTTTTTTTTTTCCTTCATTTTTTTTTCTTTTCCGACAGCTCACGGGTGTAGCAACTGAGCTAGGCCAGTTGGTTCCTTTTGGACCCTGTCCGTTGGGACATCCGTTAAAATTGGAACGATACAGAGAAGAAGATTAGCATGGCCTCTGCATAAAGATTAAAAAAAAAAAAAAAACGAAGGGTTCAAGCCTCAAGGGGATTAAAAAAAAATAAAAAAATTCTGGACCCTAGACATATCTACAAACTCACGAGTCACGAGTATTATGATACCTTGAATTCGGAGGGCTTTTTGGTCATGTTTTCAGTGATCATCCCCCAAAGGTCCTTGAAAATTCGCTTTCGCTTCCGCCAGTGGGATATCATCTTCGTATACTGCTCCTCTATCTTCGCCTTCTCCTCGTCTGTGATGAGAACTGTCCCCTCCCTCAACTTTATCAATTTAGCTTCCAGTTGCTTATTCTGCCACAGTTAACAACAAATAAATATTAAATAATATTATTATTAAATAATATTAATAAATTATAAATATTAAACATTAAATATGCCATGGGCTCAGTCCAGTTAGTGCAACCATGAACTGTTGAAATGCCAACTGTCCTACCTTGAACGCGTACAACTGTTTTAAATAAATATTCCGGACCAGTGTCTGGACCGGTCCGGACTGTCCGGTGATCCGGACATCACCGGACACC